CAGTTATTTTAAATAGTAAAAATATTTCACAATATTACTGCTTTTGCTGTATTTTGGATAAAAAAAATGCAGGCTTGGTGAGCAGAAGAGAATTCTTTAAAAAACCTTTGACTGGTTGTGTGTGTGTGTGTGTGTGTGTGTGTGTGTGTTTGCATATTTGTATGTATGTGTGTGCAGGTGCAGGAGTTGCCGTTGGTCACAATGAGGTTTCTGATCTCACTGTGTGTGTCTCTACTGCTGCTGATTAATGGTGAGAGTTTTATTTGTCATGTGCTTTACAATGATATTGTAAGTAGGGTTACATTCAATATTAATTCATTATGTTTATACTGTGTATTTAACAGGTGAAATGATCAATGGACAAACTTCAGGTACATATATCATATACTGTGTATATATATATATATATATATTACTTTATCTAATCTTTCCATCCTTAGCTTTATATAAAAAATTAAATAAATTTAATATGAATAATTTAGTGATATCGATATGAAAGGTTCTCACATTTTAGCAATCCAACACAATTTTTTTTTTCACTTTTAATTTAATTATTTTTATTGTATTGAAACAAAGTTTTATCAGATAAACCAAGCTAAATTTCTTTGGAATTTGTGACATTTATGAAATGCACAAATCCCCAACACTCACTACTTTCATGTTCAGTCCATTTCATGATGCATGCAGATTCAGCAGACCATCAGTGATTAACATTAGTTATAATCATAATAATAATCGTATCTATGTACTTTATCATCTACATTGCCGGGACAAAATAGGCTGTATTTTAAAAATTACTGGGAAAAAAAAATTCAATAAACTATTTTTTGACTGAAAAGTGTTTTAGGTAAATATTATTTAAATAAATATTTTCGTCACCTCAAGTTCTGCACAATTGACTGATTCAGTTGAAAAATGTAATCTGTCCAGATGCCACACATTTGTTTTTCAGTGCGTGTTGTGCTCATAAAATCAGCAACAACATTCCAACTCATCTTTTACAAATAAAATATATGTTGTGCAGATCATAGCACTGATACAGCTGTGCATCTGATTGTGAACGTGATGACACAATGGATTATTCAGCTACACAGAAAAAAAATAATCAGAAAAAAATAAAATAAATAAATAAATAACTTTCACTAATGCCGTCCTGTAATTAAAAATTAATATATAAGTTTGTATACATTATTGTGTCACAAACAGCTAATCAAGCATATACAGATCTGTAAATAGATATGGAGAGAATTTGTTCCATTTTGTGTAATGGAATCGTTTGTGAAGTATGTGACGGTTCAACTACATGACAAAACTTGTTTTTCCTGTGAGTCTAAAGGAATTTACTGTCGTTCACACATTGATAAGAAAAAGAGAGAAAAAGCAGTTCCTGTGTACTGTATGTTAATGTTAACCCTCCTGTTCTGCACAAGAAGAGTTGTTTTATCTAAAATCACAGTCTCCACAGAAACTTGATACATACGGTGTGGAAATGATCTTTAAACTTTGCCACCCTGTTTGACTGCTCTCTGCTACAACCTGGTTTTCAAAGCAGGAACAGCAAGCCCAACTAGAGAGAGTAGACATGACAGCTATAATTACAGTTTTAAGGGAATTACATTATTATTATTATTATGTTTAGCATACAGCAAGTGTTCCTAAATTTAAGGATTCCTTATTTTCACTTTATGGTATCAGTGCACTCTCAGAAAAAAGGTACAAAAGCTGTCACTGGGGCGGCCGGTACCTTTTCAAAAAAATACACCTTTGTATATTTGCATTTACCCCTTAAAATAAATATAAGTACCTTAAAGCTGCATATTAGTACCTAAAATGTACATTTCAGTACCTAAATGGTATACATTTGTACCTTTTGAAAAGGTTCTGCTGTAGTGACCGCTTTTGTACCTTTTTTTCTGTGAGTTTTTATGATTTATGATTTAAGCTTTATGAAGAAACAGAAGGTACATTGTGTGTAGGTCTTTTCCCTGACTTCTGTATAGTTCACTTAATTAGTTAATTTAATCATTCTACTACATGCTTAATCTGACTCCAGTTTCAAATTATTCTAAAGTTTAGAGTGAGATATTTATCTATCTAATTTTGTTTCTAATTTGGATATTTGAATATTGCAGTATTCCCTTATTCTTCATCTGTTTGTTCATTCATCTGAATGTCGCACAGAGTCTCATGCCGGCTGGTTGGAATCTCACGGACACAGACTCACCAGTCTGATTTTAGTCAGAGGTTGCTCATAACAAAAAGTGTAGTTTTATAGTCACATTCATACAACTTGCTAAGTCAGTGCTACGCAGAAATCAGAAGCTGTCAGATGATGTGGCACATTCCTCATTCATTCATGGCCTTCACTTTGAACTGCACACAGATTCGTGGCATCACCAGACTCCACTTAATCTACTAGTCATAATGATTTCAGAAGAATAGTATAAATCAAATATAACGTTTTGATTGTCAGGTAAAAATATGAGTGATGCATGCCTGACAGCAGAGAGACTCACAGCAGTGTGTGAGTGAGACCATTCTGAGTGGTCTTTTGGTGACCAGAGCCTGGTGAAAAAGGAAAGAGAGGGGTATGGTGAGCCATTTTAACATTTAATCTAAAAAAAAAAAAAAAAAAAGTATTTTCTATTTCTTACTACTAGATTTTTTAAAGGTACAAGTATCTATTGCACTAGGTGCTAGTACTTATTTGTTGGCTACTAGTGCTTATTCTATAAGTACTAGTACATTTATAAAAATATACTAGTTATTCATTGGATAATAGTACCTATTAAATATATAACTTATAGTAACTATTCTGTTGTTAGTAGTAACACGTTTAATTTTTTTTTTGCCTTCTATGTGGATCTGTCATCAAGATATCAACTATTCCTTTTTGACTGTATTTATTCCAGTTGTGACTAGTAACTTTTTAAAATATATACTAGTACTTATTTATTATATACTAGTACATATTCATTAAATACTTGTACCTATTAAATAGATAAATATATTTATATGTTTCCTTAGTTTATGTAAGAGATTGTTGCTTTATTATGTAGTATTTATAATTCAGATGCAAGCAACATAAGCACTACCACTACTCCTGTCATGCCAGAGACAACCACAACTGAAACCACAACCACAGAAACTACAATAGACTTTATGACCAATGTACTGTGTTACAATCAGGAGGATTATTGTTTTGCATGAGAAAATCAGGCCCATGTGTTTGTGAAATAATTTATAATAATAAAATAAGCTATATAGGCAATGATATTATATAGCTATATTAGAGTGATTCAACCATCGGCCAAGCCACAGGTAATCACAAAAATATATGGCCATATTATTTAATAACTTTTAATAGGTACTTAAGCAGTGAAATAATCAATGAACAAACTTTAAAAAACTTTTTTAGCTTTATTCTTCACTTCTTTTCCAGCCTTTGCTTTCCTTTAAAAATGCAAGAATAAAAGAAGTGTAATAGGAATAATTCAGTGAAAGATCCCTGTCTCTTGATATGAAACCTTGAAACTTGTTCATATTTTAGCAGTCCTACACGTCACTATTCACATCAGACCCCACTTTCAATTTCATCATTTTTTATTGTATTGAGACAAAATTTTGAAACCAAGCATACTGTGTGTATTTATGACATTTATGAAATGCACAAATCCCAAACAGTTTTGTGTTCAGTACATTTCATGATGCATGCAGATTCAGAAAGTATGTTTTGTTTTTGACAGAAAATGTGTTTTTAGATAACAGGACAAAAAATATCTTCACCTCAAAGTTACGGTTTAAGGCTGCACAACTGACTGATTAAAGGTTAAAATCACTATTTCTAAAATATAATCTACTCAGATTGAATGTGCCACACATTTGTTTTTCAGTCTGTGTGGGGCTCATAAAACCAGCTGCAATACACAGGGATAATTTACTGTACAGTTAGTTGGTAATTATGAAAACATAAAGCCCAATAACATCCAAATGTTCAGAAGTTCATTTTTGCATCAGAATCAGAATCAGAAGAGCTACATTACCAGGTATGTTTACACACACAATGAATTTGGCTTGACGACAGGAGCTTCCAGTGTAGAAGAAAGTATAGACATAGTGCAGACATACATAGTTAAGAACACAGTAGGGATGGAATATAACACTAATGTAAGAAAAAAAAATCAGAAATGAAATAATGTACTATACACAGAAATAGAAGTATAGATAAAAAATGTAATTGTTTAGATAAATGTACAGATATGTTATAAGTGTGCAGATATATTATTTACAAAGTGTGCAGTTTACAAGTGTACAAATGTTGGATTCTGTATAAATATGTCAGCTGTGATGGATGATGTATAATTATGAAAAGGTTTAATTGTTCAGGCTGAATATAGCCTGCGGGAAAAAACTGTTCTTGTTCTTAGCTGTTTTCCTCACTCTGGAGATGTAAAGATCTTGGAGACTGGGCAGAGGGGCACCAATAATCCTCTCAGCAGTCCTGACTGTCAGAACAGAACAAGAAAAACTCATCAGGCGATGTTTATATCTGAGACCTTACTTCTTATGATTCCAACTTTACATCTCACATCTGTGACTTTATGTAGTAACTGATCATTTATACACTATATATTAATATATGTTACAATTTAGATGAGAAGATGAATTGTAAGGTACATTGTTCTCATTGTGTTGTGTTACAAAACACTTTTGTTGCTCATTAGGAAGAATATAGTTAAGGTTTGGGACAGTTTTAGTGGTATGATTATATTTAAGGATGTGTTAAACTGTAAGATATGAGTCAACAGTGTACTTACAGAACTCATAAATTATTTACAGCTGTACATAAATGCATGTGTTTTTAAACATAAGCAGTGCATCATGTATCTGCACAATAAGTGCATTGTATCACATTACAAATTTACATTTTAGAAGACTGTAGTTGATGACAATTAATATAAAGCGGGTCCCAGTATTTTAACAGAACTTTTCCAAACTCCATGACAGTTGCTTTCAGCAGCATCAGCAGTGATCCCTGCTACAACTATGAGTCTCTGGATCGTCCCTGGAGAGCCAACAATGAAAGTGGAGGTTACGTTTGTGATGAACGATTCTCCTGGAATGGCTGGTACCGGCTTTTCTACTATGGAATGAACATCCAGATGTCAGAGACCTGTGTTAGTTCATACAGCTGTAATACATACTCTACTCTGTGGCTCAATGGTCCTCACCCTCAGATAGAGGATGGAGTGGTGACCAGAGAGGTCTGTGGTAATTATTATTATTCGGATGACTGCTGTTATTACAAGACAAACCCCATCAGAATGAAAGCATGTCCAGGAAATTACTATGTCTATGAACTTGTGAAACCACAAACCTGGTGTTCAGGATACTGCACAGGTAATGTGCTTTTTCTCCTATTTTTTGAATGAAGTCTTTCAAAAGTTTTAAAGTCACTTCAATCATGTCTTGAATGTCTTTCTTTTCAGATGTCAGCACCATTTCACGGCCGATTTCCACCATAAGTCCAGATATAATTACTGGATCCAGCATTACCTCGAGTAAGTTACATTTTAATTCATTCATGTAACCTCTCTCTCTCTCTCTATGTGTTTGTGTGTGTGTGTGTGTGTGTGTGTGTGTCAGAGGTGGAAAGTAACTAATTACAGATACTTTCGTTACAGTACTTGAGTACATTTTTCAATTTTTTGAAATTCTTGAATTCTTGAGTATAATTAAATTATGGTACTTTTACTTGATTTGAATAAAAATAAAAGCATTCAACTTCGTTACATTTATTTTTGATCAAAAGTACAAAAAAGACAAAAGTGCTGATGGAGAAACTGGGCGAGCTGCTGTTTGACGGGCACTGCGCTTCAGGTAATAACAGACAGGTCTGACTCGGGTGCAAAACCAATCAAAACTCATTCGTTCAAACCCGGGGCGTTCAAACCAGACAATCACTGATGTTAGCATTTTGAATCAGTATTGTTAACGTTTCAATATTTTAGTGAATGTAAATGAGCTATGCTCTGATTTTAAATTGTAATTTTGACAGCTGCTGATATGGGTCATTTCATTGATATTCCCAGAACACTCAGCAGTTTAATTAAATAGAAAACTCGGCTGATAGAAGGACACAGTTATAGGGGTATGTGCAACAGACTTCCGTATTCTGTTAACCGGTCTCATCGCTTCCGGTTCAAGCGTTTTGCATATGCTTCGTTAAATATGAAGCTGTTTTACTCAAGATGCCTTCAAAAGTGATACAAAGATGATCATAATCAATGTCCACCACATATGTGGATTGATATCTAAAAGATATTTATTTTTATTCTTTTCACTAACATTTAGATATAAAATGGAATAAAACGTCAACAATGAAAACAGCTAGCTAGTTTAACTAATTACCTTAAACATCCGTAGATATCGCCATTATTTAATACGGCTGTTAACACGTTCTCTGACAAGCAGAAGTGATGAGACCTGTTTTCCGGGTTTGGTCAGGTGACGTTTGACATATACCCTATTGCATGGACAGAGCAAGAACAAGTACAGTAGGTAAGGTAAAGTGTCTAAAGTGCATGCACTCAGTTCAGTTGAATGGTAAAGCTTGCCCTCTTTAACAGTGCAGTTAAACTAAATGTACAAAGTATGAAGCTGAAATAACCTCAACATGAACAACAACATTGAAATAAAAGCGCATGCATTTTTATGTGCATCTGACTGACAGATAAACTACGATTTATCTGTCAGTCAGTTGCAAGTAAAAGTGTACTTTGTTACTATAGTAACGGTGGACTCCAGGCACATTTTCGGTAGAAAGAAAAAAGCGCTTTTTATTTAACATGTTAACCTTTACCTAGGCTTGGGAATTCCAATTTTGGAATCGCATGCTTAAGAATCGGATACTTGTTATAAAATTCAAATTTTGATTCCTTTGTGTGCATTTTAATATGACTTCAAACCATTCAAGTCAAGAAGACTCACATGCTGTTTTCTCTGCTCACATCCAAGACGTGCGCACAGAAAGCCGCCTCTCATACTGCGTGATACTGAACTGAATCCTCTTCTATTGCCCTGTCCAAATACCCACACTTGCAGTCTTGGCCACTTGAGAGTGCGTGCACGCGACAGGAAGTAAGTGAGCAAGACTGTACCATCTCTTAAAAATGCCAAAGCGCAGTGCCCTTAACGCACACTAAATCCACACACTACTAACTCTCATGAGATCTCGCAAAAAGTCTCACGATTTATTTCCAGAATATGATGCATGAAGGGATACAGTAAGCCCTGAATGCCAAAGCCACTAGAAGGCAAGCCTGCAACCTTTAGCTAAAAAAGCATAACGGCTAATGCTAACACTTCCACTTTGGCGGTACATGAGAAAGGAGACCAGAGGCCGTTTGATTTTAATGGATGTCAATGGAGGAGAGGCTTCACTACGCTGAATAAACAGCTTTTTTAGAGGAAACAGCTTATCATTTAATGAATCGACAGCCTATCAGCTAATCTCCAACATGTTTTACACTAAGCAATAATTAGTATAAGTATAACTAATAATAGTATAAATAAGAATATTGATAAGTCACTGAATTTTTGCGACAGGTGGGTTTCAGCTTACGGCATTTCCCGTTCATTCCTATGGTATCCGTAAACGGCAATTGAGTGTCGCACAACTCTGACTGAAATTCAATAACGTCAAGTCTGTAATGTGACTGGTTATTAAAGGGGTCATATGATGCGATTTCAATGTTTCCTTTCTCTTTGGAGTGTTACGAGCTCTTGGTGCATAAAGAAGATCTGTAAAGTTGCAAAGACTAAAGTCTCAAATCCAAAGAGATATTCTTTATAAAAGTTAAGAGTCAACCACGCCTATACCTAAAACGGCTCGTTCTAACACGCCCCCACATGTCTATGTCACGATGTGGGAAGATTTGTATAATGCCGCCCAAACGTTCACGCAAAGAAAGAAGGTGTAACTTTTATTCTCGCCGTTGCCGCCGTGGCCATGTCGTGGAGACGCTGTGTGTTTTGTTTGGCCTTCCAAAAGTGGACACAACTAGAAATCAGTGGTTCAACACTGTTCCGGAACAGTTCAACGCAAATATTCAAATGTGTGCAGCGCATTTTGCGGAGGATGAGGACTGTTTCCTGTGAGAGTAGCCTACAATGCCGGTGTCTGTTTTTTAAAGAATTTGCCACTGGTGATTCAAACACGAGTTTTGAGCAGTGCACAGTAGCGCTTGTTGTTTGTCGTTTCTCCGATCACAGATGCAGACATGGTTTTATGTTTACGCAGCTCGATAAGCAGCGCAATACGCAACGCAACACATAAAAAGACAGTATAAGTCATTATAATCAGTAATTATGTCCCCACTGGATGCAACAAATGCCTCGTTTATAATGGGTTTTACTGGTTTTGTCTTGTCGCGCCGGGAGACGGCATCACAGTATGGTAAGGGGCGTAACATTTCCGTTGAGGTATTCGGCCAATCACAACGCACTGGATAGCTGGCCAATCAGAGCACACCTCGCTTTTCAGACCAATCACACGGCATCACAGTATGGTAAGGGGCGTAACATTTCAGTCACACGCTTGAGGTATTCGACCAATCACAACGCACTGGATAGCTGGCCAATCAGCGTACACCTCACTTTTCAGAACGATGAGCTTTGTAAAAATCGACACGCTTCAGATAGGCGGGGCATAGAGGAGCAACATTAATGTATATTATATGGAAAATAATGTGTTTTTTAAACCTTAAACCGCATACACACATTGCATTACACCAAATACACAAAATAATGTTATTTTTAGCAACGTCATATGACCCCTTTAAGGCACATGTGATCCAAGATCATCTCCCTATAGTAAGACAATCTATGTCGAATACCGCTCCTGCGAGGCTTAGTGTATCCCATCATGCATCATGTTTTGGAAATAAATCATGAGACTTTTTGCTGAGATCTCGTGAGAGGTCACGGAAACCTTTCCAATATAAGTTAAATATTAATAATTATATATTACATATGATTTGGTAGTAAAACAAAGTGTTGCACGTTTTATTGGTGCAAAGGTGAGTATAATTATTTTGTAATATTATAATTATTTTTTATAATAATTATTAATATTGGCAAATGCTTTTTATCAATTAATTAGAAGCATCACTAATTAAATTTAATCTGTTATAGGGACTACTGAACAGACATTTAGAAGTTGATTTTAAAATGCAAAGTATTGAAAATAAAAATAAAGCTCTGAAAAAACACTTGCATTTTTACAACGCTATAAGTGTGTCCCATCATATAATGAAAAGTTCTAAACACACTTGTGGTCTTCATGCTCACTTGAACACTTGGGCCAAATACAGGAAATACGTCATATAAGTAGTCAAGTGCAAAGACCGCAAGTGTGGGTATTTGGACAAGGCACATGTCTTTTTGGATTTGGGAAAGAAAGCGCATGTGTAACAGTATATTGGATCCGAGCAGCCTAATATTCCTTCTGCCATCTCTATAATAACATTAGTCAAACAAAAGACAGAAAATTCACTCGCTGTTCTTGACTGAATAACTTTTGTAACTATATTTGAAATGTATATTTTATTACAGTTTCTGCGCCTGCATACATGAAAATCTTAAAACACTGTTTATTTCAGTCGTTAATTAATTAATTTGTTTTTATTTGTGTGATTGCTAATTTGTTTATATGTTCTTTTTAATTACTGAGTGTTTTCTTGTATTTAATAATGCTTGAAATTTAGATTAGTTAGACTAGTTGTTTTTTGCTATGTTATTTTAAATCAGGCAAAAGTTCCTTGTGTAATTGCTCTTCAGCCTGTTGATTTTCGTTCAGTATTCAGCTACAATGAAATGTTTCGCAATAAGACTTAGAATAAATGTGGATGATATATGTTTTTTTAATCATTAGTATTATTTTTATTTATTTGAATCGAAAGTAGGAATTATTAAGAATCTGAATCAATAAGCAGAATCGGAATCGGAATCATTACAATTCAAACGATGCCCAACCTTACACATACCACACATTATTTTTTACTGGCAATTTAAATGGTCAATTACATGACAATTTATGAGATTAATATCATGTTTTGCTCCAAAATTACTATATAACATCAGTCATGCTTGAGATAACTTTATTCTGTGTTCCGTGTTGCTTCTTATCACAGAATGAGACAGAAAAAATATTATTTTATAAAATTCTATACTGTAAATTAGCATTGCATTATAAATATTAATCATTCTCATGAAAATACCCGAAATGGTTTAAATACAGATAAACACAGATAAATCATTACAACAGTGTGTTTATTGTCTTAATATTTCATCAGTAAAAACGTCTGCATGTTATTCAGCTGTAGTGATAGCTGATGCATTTGTCCATATAAGGGATTTCCTGGAAAGTTATAAGTTTAATACATCTATGTCTAAGTTTCACTTGTGAAACAAACATTACAAGAGAGTGTTTAATGCTCCATGATGTTCGCATTCTATCGCAAAAATAGAAAAATAAAACCAAAGTACTTTGTAACGCAGTAACTTGAGTAGTTTTTCAGCAAAATACTTATTTACTCTTACGTGAGTTATATTATTTTTCAGTACTTTTAATTGTACTTAAGTAAATTATTCCTTAAGTAGCAATACTTTTACTTAAGTACAATTTTTCAGTACTCTCTCCACCACTGATGTATGTATGTATGTACAGTATATTGGCAATGACATTTAAATCTCATGTTTGTTAATGTGTTTGATTAGTTCAGATTTGCTAATTTAAATATAACTGGTCTGTTTTGGTCTCTCACTAACACAGATTATGACCCGTGCAATAACTACAACATACTTGACAACCACTGGAGAAGCACACTCAATTTTGAGTTTTGGAATGGCTATGCAAATGAACTTGATGACACTCGTGTAGAATGGGATGGCTGGTATCGACTCTTCATTGATGGATCAAATGCTCAGATGCCTGAGTGGTGTATGTCTTACATGTCATGTGGAGGTTTTAGTGCTCTGTATCTTGGTGGCTCTCATCCTCAACTAGAAGATGGAGTTGTTACTCGTCAAATTTACGGCTCTGGCCATGATATGTGCAGTCGCTACAGATCTCAACCAATCCAAGTTAAAGCTTGTCCTGGAAATTATTATGTCTACAAATTTACCAGACCAGCTCTTTCAATCCCAGCTCCTGTGTATTGTGCAGGTATGTTCATTTATCTTTTTATTTGACGTTTATCACAAATTGTATTGGTTTGTATTCATATTATTATCTTGAATAGATTTAATATGCAGTATGTAATGCTCGCTTTCTACTTTTTAATAACAGTATTGTTAACCACTCCAAGTGTTAACCCCTGCTACAACTACACCAGTCTGGATGAGCCTTGGAGAGCCACTGGCAACTATAATAACGATTACTACTATGGCATGTGTGATTATAATGTGGAGTGGAATGGCTGGTACAGGCTGTTCTACAATGGTCAAAATGCCCAGATGGCAGAATCATGTGTTAATTATGGCATGTGTGGCACTTTTAACCCACTGTTACTCACCGGCCCTCATCCACAGCTGGAAGATGGAGTGGTCACCCGTCGGGTCTGTTCCACAGTGAATGGCTGCTGTACTTACACATCCCACCCTATAAGAGTCAAAGCCTGTCCTGGAAATTACTATGTTTATGAGTTTGTCAAACCATTTGTTTGTGGAGCTTACTGTGTAGGTGAGTATTTACTCATATGTAATTAAATCATTTACTTTTCTGGGTTATGATTAAACATATTTGATACTGATATATATATATATATATATATATATATATATATGTATATACAGTTTTTTCCCCACTGTATATATTTATATATTTCTTCTACCAGAAGCCTCAAGCCAGTCCATCCAATTAGTTTCTACAACAGAGAGAATTCCACCGATAGTGTCCATTACTTCACCAATCACAACCACTGGTAAAGTATTGTCTTGTTTTCTTTTAAAGCCTCAAGAATATTTTTTACTCATTTATTTTCATTACACAGTCTCTTAAAATGTTTCAGTCTTTCTGTCCCATTACAAAAGAGTGTAGCAAAATCATAGTTAAAGTAGTAAAAATCAGTATGCAAGACAAATGAGAAGGAAAGGACTACAGGTGCCTAAACACTCACTCTTTATTTGACAGATTTTGTTGCTTCTCTAACTCTATTTATTTAATGGACAGTGTAACAGATGAATCAAATTGATCATAATGAAGAACTCAACTGAAGTGCATTTTTATTAATAGTAAAAACTATACCATCACTGTTTTTTAGACCTCTGTAGACTCCTTTTATAACCTCAAACTGATCCCAGACCCCACCAATCAGAGGCAGGAAATGACTTAAAATGGCAGGAAATGACTTAAAATGACAGGAAATGCACGTGTGCACACAGATAAAAGATAAGAGTCAGAGTGAAAATTGATAGGATTTATTTATTTATACAATTTGAGAGTGTATGATGTAAGATAATTGGGCACAAAGAAGATACAATTTAGACCACCAAAAACAAACCAATAATTTGTGAGATTAAGATTATAAAAGTACAAAAGTCAAGCTATTCAGTTGCAAAAGGACTCATGTTAGCCATTTGTTTCAGCAAAATAAAAGTAGATGTTCGAACTCAAGACAAACTGTTTTCAGCATTGAATAAATTTAAACACAAGCGTAACAGAGTGTAACAATTAAGTGAAGACTGTTCTGAAGATTTCATAGCACTACTTATTCTGTACAAAAAACAGTATAACATTCATTCAGTCCAAAACGTTTACTTTTCTAATATTTCTTAACAACAGCTCCCCCTGTTGACCCCTGCTACAACTACAATGTCCTGGATGATCTATGGAGATCCACCAACAATCAACATTCCTCTCAAATAATGTGTGACTCTTGGGTCAGCTGGAACGGCTGGTACCGTCTCTTCATTCAGGGTCAGAGCGTTCAGATGCCAGACACATGTGTTGATGAGTTGAGTTGTGGCACTCATGCTCCACTGTGGCTGAACGGAGGACATCCAACAGTTGAGGATGGAGTGGTCACTCGAGATGTCTGCGGTCACTGGAGCAATAACTGCTGCTATTTCCAATCCAATCCCATTAAAGTCAAAGCCTGTCCAGGAGGGTATTATGTCTATGAGTTTGTGAGCCCAAGTGCCTGCTATTTGGCATACTGTGCAGGTAAATATATTGACATGTGCTCTCTGTTTATTTAAGAAATTACTATTTTGTGTAATATTCTTTTTTTTTTATTGTCTGCTTGTCATGTCAGAGACAACCACAACCGAAACTACAGCCAAAACCACAACCACAGCCAAAATCACAAGGACTGGTAATATAATGTGTTTTATAACAATCTGGAGGATTATTATTTTACATGAGCAAATCAGACCCATGTTATGTGTTCGTGACACATGTAAAGAGTTTATCACATTAAATAGTGTTAAATCTTTTGTTTTAGAACTAGTTCCTTTCCAGATCACCATATGTACTCAATGCAGGATCTGCAGTTGCTAGCTGAAATTATTTGTCCAAGAATCTTTTACTAATTTGAGAACAAGAAGGCACTCTCTGTGTGTGTGTGTGTGAAGTCCTGGTATTTATTATGTTATTGGGACCAAATGTCCCTACAAGAGAAGTAATAGCAGTCATTTGACCCTGTGGGGTAATTTTATATAAATTTTTTTGGTTCCCATGAGGAAAATCATCCAGAAAGTTTAGTTTGAGGGGTAGGTTTATGGGTAGGTTTACTGTAAGGGGATAGAAAAGTACTGTACAGTATAAAAACCATTATGTCTATGGAATGTCCCCATAAAACATGGAAACTCAGAATGTGTGTATTTAATAACACAGGCTCTAAGTACACAAATATCTTAAAATTTACCTAATGTAGTATTTATTGTGTCCAAATGTTGATTTTGCGTATTGCAAGATATAAAATAATTCAGGTGGGAAAAGAAAGCAATGTCAAATCTCAGAAGAAACATAAACAGAAAAGAACAGGCTTCTCTCATTAACACATGTAACCGGAAGTATTTATACTTTCACTAATTTGGTCCGCTACTCCACACATACCCTGTTAATTAAGAATGGACGTGCTTACAATCTGATGAACTAGAACTGATGCAGACTAATAAATGTTGCTGATGAAGACTGAAATCGTTGTGGTTTGGAGCAAGGGTTAGGTGGGTAATGTGAAAATAATGGGAGTGTGCTACATTTCCATTTTCCCCCAGAGATTTACACTGGAAAATTGTGGAGTGCTTTTGAGCTCATGAAGGCACAGACACCCAAAGCCCTGCACCAAATTTTCATATACAGCTCTGGAAAATATTAAGAGACCACTGCAAAATTATCAGTTTCTCTTGTTTTATTTTACTATTTGTATGTTTGAGTGAAATGAACATTTTTGTTTTATTCTATAAATTACTGACAACATTTCTTCCAAATCTCAAATAAACATATTGCCGTTTAGAGTAGGGACGGTAAGATTCACAGATTTGCATCGGTGCATCTGCATAAAAGTTAACGATGCGCTTCATTGATTTAAAAAGTGTGCATCAGATACAAGCTGGCATTTGTATCGCGATGCATCGTTTCTAACATATTTGCATGGGTAAAAACCGATATATTTATATATAGTTATTAGTAGATGCGCTATACTTTTATTATTTAGAAAGTGACCAGTAATTTGTGACCAATATGGGCCTACAAGTTTGCATTTGTATCGCAATGCATTTTTGCATAGGTAAAAAACAATTTATTTCTTAGTAGATGTGCTATACTTTTATTATTTATAAAGTGACCAATAATTTGTGACCAATATTTTATAAGTAGATTGATTTTTCCTCTCTAAACTGTTTCTCAAGCGCATTCTCTCATCACCACTGCTGCTACGTGAATATGACGAATCAACACCATGGAGACCGAGGCGTGTCCTGACAGTCACATAGAATATAGATTAACATGGCAGAAGTAGACAAAAGGGTCTGGCTGCAGCTTGTCGCTTGCACTCTCAGACGTGCATTCTCAGACTTGCACTCTCAGACACTTGCGCTTCCGCTAGCGACGTCATAGAGCTGCATCTTCCACCAAATAACTACAATCAACCAAAGAAATAAAAGCGAACTATATGATATTGAATTTCATAGCATCATATTTTTTTCATTGCATCGTATTGCATTGAATCGAATCGAAATCGGATCACACTGCATCGTAATAGGGGTGAATAAAATTGCATCGCATCGGTAGCTGCTTCATATGTATTTTTAATGTATGGTATCGTTAGCTATGCATCGAGATGTGTATTGCACCGGCCTCAGTTATGGAGATGCAAACATAGTTTAAAGAATTTATTTGCAGACAATGACAACTAGTCAAAATCCAAAAGATGCAGTGTTTTCAGGCCTCAGATACTGCAAACAAAACAAGTTCATATTCATTTTTAATCAACACATCACTAATGTTTTAACTTAGGAAGTGTTCAGCGTTTACCTTATATATTTGGTGGAATAACCCTGATTTTCAATCACAGCTTTCATGCATCTTGGCATTGATGACTTGTGACCATCCATCTTTCTCTTGATCACACTCCAGAGGTTTTCAATGGGGTTCAGGTCTGGAGATTGGGCTGGCCATAACAGGGTCTTGATCTGGTGGTCCTCCATCCACACTTTGATTGACCTGGCTGTGTGGTATGGAGCATTGTCCTGCTGGAAAAACCAATCCTCAGAGTTGGGGAACATTGTCAGAACAGAAGGAAGCAAGTTTTCTTACAGGACAATTTTGTACGTAGCTTGATTCATGCTCCTTTCACAAAGACAAATGTGCCCAATTCCACCAAATTTCACAGTGGGTGTGAGACACTGTGGCTTGTAGTCCAGTCCTTATGGACTTTTGCATACCTCAGCCTGGCTCTTCTTTGTTTCTCATTGATGAAGGGCCCTTTCCCCTTGGAGCCTGTTTCGAACCATCCTCGCCGTGCACTTCACCCCAGCTGCCGTTTGCCTTTCTTTTGTAGGTCACTTGATGTTGTCCTACGGCTGTTGAGTAACATTCAAATGAGTTGAAGGTAATCCCAGTCAGTGGAGAGTCGTTTTCGCCCTCTGCCGGTCTGTAGCTTTGTTGTCCCCAATATCTTCAGCTTGACCTTGTTCTTATGAACCGCTGTCTTTGACATTAAGAATGGAAGCAACCTGATGCTGACTGTATCCCTCTGCCAGTAAAGCCAGAACTGAACCCTTCTTTTCTTCATGCAAACTTTACTTTTCAACTCTTTTGGCATGGTCAATAGTTAAAATTTGATTCCAGTTACTTTTGACGTACTACTAGCACTGTTTTTGCCATCCAGCTGGTCCTATTTTACTAGAGTATAGTGATGACCACAGCAGTGTTATTTTTTTTATTTTATTTTTTGTACTTTTCCTCGCTAAATAAGATTTGGTTGAGGTGATCACCTTCATTAAGCAGAATGAGTTGTGCCCATGTGTTGGAATTCAACAGACAGTGGAATGGAATGGCTGATGCTGATTTATGAAAGATTTGGAGTTGTCTCTTAATTTATTTCCAGAGCTGTAGATACATTTCCTAGAAAATGAACTGAGATCTTGGTGGCAAATCTTTTTTAAATTAGTTGTTGTAAGTGCAGTCAGTTTATATAATCCCTCCCTAGTGTACTATCCCAGTATCTTATCTGGTCATAAAGACACAGGTTTTTGCCACATAAATAGTGAGTATGTATCATCGCTGGATTGTCCTTTTTTATGTCATTATTCTCTCAGAATCTACAACTTCCAGCTCTGATCCCTGCTATGATTATAACACTCTTGATGAATACTGGAGAGACATACGACAAAACGCGTATCAGTACTCTGGACAGGATGACACCCTTGTTGAATGGAGTGGCTGGTATCGGCTGTATTTGAATGGAGAAAGTGCCCAGATGTCTGAGTGGTGTGTGAGTAATACAGGATGTGGTGGTGAAACTGGACTTTATCTTGGCGGTTCTCATCCAAGAGTTGAGGATGGAGTGGTGACCCGTGAAGTTGTTGCAAGTCATATAAGGTCTAACCAGTGTGACAACTACAGATCCACATCCATCAAAGTAAAAGCCTGTCCAGGAGATTATTACGTCTATAAACTTGTCAGGCCAGATGTGATGACCAGCAGGCCTTCATATTGTGCAGGTGCATCTTGTTTTCTCTGGATTTTTTTTTTTATATCAGAATCCAGAATAAAATCCTCTTTTTATTAGATAATTTAACATATATCTTATTGAATTGGTTAATGAAATTAATTGTTTTTACCAGTTAGAATAAGGTTTTTAGTTGCATCAGAGCTGGGATGTAGTACTCTAAATTTCTTCCATGTTCATACAGTATTTTAACACTACATTTACAAACTCCATGACAGTTACTTTCCAAAGCATCAGCGGTGATCCCTGCTACAACTATGAGTCTCTGGATCGTCCCTGGAGAGCCACTAATGAAAGTGGAGGGTGGATTTGTGAAGAATCTTTCTCCTGGAATGGCTGGTACCGGCTTTTCAACTATGGAATGAATATTCAGATGGCAGAGACCTGTGTTAATTCATACAGCTGCAATACAGACTATAATCTGTGGCTCAATGGTCCTCACCCTCAGATAGAGGATGGAGTGGTGACTAGAGAGGTCTGTGCAGGGTTTTATTGGGGTAGCTGCTGTCATTACAAGACAGACCCCATCAGAGTGAAAGCGTGTCCAGGCAATTACTATGTCTATGAACTTGTGAATCCACAACTCGGGTGTTCAGGATACTGCACAGGTACTGTGCTTTTTTCCCCACAAGTCTTTTAAACATTTTAGAATGATTTCAGTAATGACAGTACACATGGTTTAACTTTCTCATAATAATTTCTATGAATTACTGGTTTGACCTCACAAAGTTTTGATCTCATAATTTCTCAATAACACAGACTATGACCCGTGCAATAACTACAACATACTTGACAACTACTGGAGAAGCACATTCAATTACTGGTCTATGTATGGATACATCTCTGATCAAGATGACACTCGTGTAGAATGGGATGGCTTTACTTTTCAACTCTTTTGGCATGGTCAATAGTTAAAATTTGATTCCAGTTACTTTTGACGTACTACTAGCACTGTTTTTGCCATCCAGCTGGTCCTATTTTACTAGAGTATAGTGATGACCACAGCAGTGTTATTTTTTTTATTTTATTTTTTGTACTTTTCCTCGCTAAATAAGATTTGGTTGAGGTGATCACCTTCATTAAGCAGAATGAGTTGTGCCCATGTGTTGGAATTCAACAGACAGTGGAATGGAATGGCTGATGCTGATTTATGAAAGATTTGGAGTTGTCTCTTAATTTATTTCCAGAGCTGTAGATACATTTCCTAGAAAATGAACTGAGATCTTGGTGGCAAATCTTTTTTAAATTAGTTGTTGTAAGTGCAGTCAGTTTATATAATCCCTCCCTAGTGTACTATCCCAGTATCTTATCTGGTCATAAAGACACAGGTTTTTGCCACATAAATAGTGAGTATGTATCATCGCTGGATTGTCCTTTTTTATGTCATTATTCTCTCAGAATCTACAACTTCCAGCTCTGATCCCTGCTATGATTATAACACTCTTGATGAATACTGGAGAGACATACGACAAAACGCGTATCAGTACTCTGGACAGGATGACACCCTTGTTGAATGGAGTGGCTGGTATCGGCTGTATTTGAATGGAGAAAGTGCTCAGATGTCTGAGTGGTGTGTGAGTTATGTGGGATGTGGTGGTGAAACTGGACTGTATCTCGCCGGTTCTCATCCAACACTTGAGGATGGAGTGGTAGCCCGTGAAGTTTTGGGAAGTTCTCTATGGTCTAACCAGTTTGACAACTACACATCCACATCCATCCAAGTCAAAGCCTGTCCAGGAGATTATTACATCTATAAACTCGTCAAGCCAGATCTGTCGATTAACAGGCCTTCATATTGTGCAGGTGAAATTTTAACTCTTTTTCTCTCCAAAATTTTGTGATTGTTTTTATGCCATTATCAAGAGTAAAGGGTCTGATTATTAGATAATACATCAATGAAATTAAACATTGTTTAACCATTTAGAATCAGTGGTGTGCACCTCATTAACCATTCTGTAGGCTACTTTGTAATTCTCCCCACACTCTCATAGCACTTCACTAACTGTAGCTCTCATGTTATTTATAACACAGTTTACATTTCACAACTCTAGATGAACCAATAACAGCACCTTTCTACTTTAAGTGACTTAAATTTCTACTTTGTCTTGCCATGTTATTTATATTAAAATGATAATACAGAATTAATAAATTACTGCATTCATAATGGGTATCTCTTCATAATTTACCTGTCCTCCAGCTAAAAATGAACCAATACATTTTTTTTTGTTTAAATATTCGGAGGTTTGTGTGTTAGTCTAAATACCAGCTTACATTACTTTAGCAAAAATAATGAAGGCTTTATGAAATTGCACTGCCTTTACACTATTATATATTGTATGATATTATATCATGTACTCAGTGCTAGTACATGTGTCAATGTGAGTAGTTATGGTGTTCTGTTCAATTCTGCAGGCTGCATCCAGGTATAATTGACAGCACACCACTGGTTAAAAATGCTCAAATTGCTGTAATTGGCTGATTGAAAATCATGAAATAAACAATCATTGTGTTTTACAATGTAATATTCTAAATTGCATTCGATGTACAGTAAATACAGTATTTTAATAGCACTCTTAAAAAACTCTATGACAGTTGCTTTCAGCAGCATCAGCAGTGATCCCTGCTACAACTATGAGTCTCTGGATTGTCCCTGGAGAGCCAACAATGAAAGCGGAGATTACATTTGTGATGAAGGTTTCTCCTGGAATGGCTGGTACCGGCTTTTCTACTATGGAATGAACATCCAGATGCCAGAGACCTGTGTTAGTTCATACAGCTGTAACACAAACATCAATCTGTGGCTCAATGGTCCTCACCCTCAGATAGAGGATGGAGTGGTGATCAGAGAGGTCTGTGGCAATTATTTTTGGGATGAGTGCTGTTATTACAAGACAAACCCCATCAGAGTGAAAGCGTGTCCAGGAAATTACTATGTCTATGAACTTGTGAATCCACAATTCTGGTGTTCAGGATACTGCACAGGTATAGTGCTTTTCCCACTTTTAAAAAAGTCTTACACAATTTTAAGATGATTTCAGTCATGTCTTCATTTCCTTTTTTTTAAGACGTCAACAACATTTCACAGGTGGTTTCCAATGTAAGTTCAGATGTAATGTGCTTTTTCTCTTCACTCTTTTTTAATTAAGTCTTTCAAAGGTTTTAAAATCACTTCAGTCATGTTTCGAATGTCCTCCTTTTTTAGATGTCAGCACCATTTCATGGCCAATATCCACTGTAAGTCCAGATATAATTACTGGATCCAGCATGACCTCGAGTAAGTTACATTTGAATTAATCCATTTAACCTCTTTCTCTATGTGTGTGTATATGATCAAACAAACATGAGATTTTCAATGTCATTGCCAATACACACACACACACGTATGTATGTATATTGGCAATGACATTTAAATTTCATGTTTGTTAATGTGTTTGATTAGTTCAGATTTGCACTTGTGAATTTGCTCATTGAAATATAACTGCTCTGTTTTGGTCTGTCACTCACACAGATTATGACCCGTGCAATAACTACAACATACTAGACAACCACTGGAGAAGCACACTCAATTACGGGTATTGGAATGGCTATGCAAATCGACTTGATGACACTTGTGTAGAATGGGATGGCTGGTATCGGCTCTTCATTGATGGATCAAGTGCTCAGATGCCTGACTGGTGTGCATCATTTATGTCATGTGGAGGTTTTAATGGTCTGTGGCTTGGTGGCTCTCATCCTCGTGTAGAAGATGGAGTTGTTACTCGTGAAATTTACGGCTCTCGCTATGATCAGTGCAGTCGCTACAGATCTGAACCAATCCAAGTTAAATCTTGTCCTGGAAATTATTATGTCTACAAATTTACCAGACCAACTCTTTCAATCCCAGCTCCTGTATATTGTGCAGGCATGTTCATTTATCTTTTTATTTGACATGTTTATCACAAATTGCATTGGTTTGTACTTATATTATTATCTTGAATAGATTTAATATGCAGTATGTAATGCTCTCTTTCTACTTTTTAATAACAGTATTGTTAACCACTCCAAGTGTGGACCCCTGCTACAACTACACCAGTCTGGATGAGCCTTGGAGAGCCACTGATTACTCTATGTATACCAACAATTACTACCATGACGTGTGATAATGGGGAGTGGAATGGCTGGTACAGGCTGTTCTACAATGGTCAAAATACTCAGATGCCAGAATTATGTGTCAATCAAGGCATGTGTGGCACTGAATCCCCACTGTCACTCAGTGGCCCTCATCCACAGCTGGAAGATGGAGTTGTCACCCGTCAGGTCTGTCTCCCATGGGGTGACTGCTGTGCTTACACATCCCACCCTATAAGAGTCAAAGCCTGTCCCGGAAATTACTATGTTTACGAGTTTGTCAAGCCAATGGTTTGTGGAGCTTACTGTGTAGGTGAGTATTTATTCATATGTAATTAAATAATTTACTTTTTTGGGTTATGGTTAAAAATGTTTGATACTGAAATAAAAAATATTTTTTTCTTAATACCAGAAGCCTCAAGCCCTACAACAACAGAGCGAATTCCACCCACAGAATCCATTACTCCACCAATCACAACCACTGGTAAAGTACTGTCTTTTTTTTAAAACCTCAAGAATATATTTTTACTCATTTATTTTCATTACACATAGTCTCTTAAAATGTTTCAGTATTTTTGTCCCATTACAAAAGAGTGTAGCAAAATCATAGTTAAAGTAGTAAAAATCAGTATGCAAGACAAATGAGAAGGAAAGGACAACAAGTGCCTAAACACTCATTCTTTATTTGACTGATTTTGTTGCTTCTCTAACTATTTATTTAAAAGACAGTGTAACAAATGGCTAATCATAATGAAGAACTTAACTGAAGTGCATTTTTATTAATAGCAATAACCATACCATTACTGTTTCTCAGACCTCTGTAGACTCCTTTTATAACCTCAAACTGATCCCAGACCGAAAACATCAGAGGCAGGAAATGACTTAAAATGACAGGAAATGCATGTGTGCACACAGATAAAAGATAAGAGTCAGAGTGAAAATTGATAGCATTCATTTTTTATAAAATTGTACCGTGTATAATAACACGTATAAGATAATTTGGCACAAAGAAGATACAATATATTCAGTGGTTTAAGTGCAGACCACCAAACACAAACCAATCATTTTAAGTAAGAGCCAAATTGCGTTTTCAATCAGTTCTTCTCAAAGTCAAGTTATTCAATTGCAAAAGGACTCATGGTAGCCATTTGTTTCAGCAAAATAAAAGTAGATGTTCAAACTCAAGACAAACTGTTTTCAACTTTTAATAACTTTAAACACAAGTGCAACAGAGGCTGCATTTACACTGGCACAAAAAAAAAATCTGATTTTTTTGCTCACATCTGACAGATCGGAATTTGTTGCACGTGTAAACACAAAAATTTGTGTAAACAATTTTTTTCGCATCTGTTCTGAGCCACTTTTGAAGGCCTCATTCATATGTGGAAATAAATCTGATATGAATCGGATGCGTGCATTTGCGCCTGCCGTGTATGTGGACAGATTGGATATTCCCCTGTTAATTTGAGTTGGATGTCAAATGTTTTTGAAACATCTCGCAGTACAGATATATCTTTTACAAATGAAACATCTCTAGTTGACTAGCAGAGCATTCATTTTGTTCATTTGTGTTAAATAAGAGGCAATCTGGCGCTGAAATGTGTTGCTTTGCTGAGTGCTCATTGCCGCTGTTATGAGTGACGGCGGCTCGTGCACAGACGAGTGCTTCAATCTATTGCTAACCAGGGCCGTAGCCAGGGTTTTAAAATTACCGAGTTACTTTACTGAAGGCTACCAGGAAAACTACGTAATTAAGTTTAATAAATTCACAATATGTGCCCATTCATTATGAATCATATGCCTAATATTTGCTTCATTAATATTGTTTTTTGTCCCCTCACATTGACAGTTGTGAATCACATTACATGAATCACGTCAATTCAAAATGGAGAAAGTAGATAAGTTTATTAGTTTGCATTCCTGATTATTTTTGCCAGGCGTTTAACATTTCTATCATAAAACAGCTGTCAGATATGAAATGTTTGGCTACTTACATCTTATCCCGCAATTTATAGCCACTAACTGGAGCGTCACTTTGAAATTTGCGCTATGCAGCTTCTGTCAACATAAAGCTACTTTGATTTGATTGGTCATCTCAAATATTTTTTGACATTGACGAGTGGTGACTGGTCAGTGACAGACGGCTGAGGCAGCTCAAATGAGGATGTTTAAAGGGGTCATATGATGCTGCTAAAAAGAACATTATTTGGTGTATTTGGTGTAATGAAATGTGTTTATGCGGTTTAAAGTTAAAAAAACACATTATTTTCCACATACTGTACATTATTGTTTCTCCTCTATGCCCCGCCTTTTTGAAACGCGTCGATTTTTAC